CAATAAAATTCTGGAAATCCTGGGACTGACTATATTGTGACGGATAAGGATGGCATCGAGAGGGTCGACTGAATGTGCAGGGTTCGGTGGTGTAGTGGTAGCACACCTGACCGGCAATCAGGAGGCCCGGGTTCGATTCCCGGCCGTTCCTTGGGTTCTTTCGACCTCTCATGCCGTGCAACTCCCGAAGTTCCCCTCCGTAACAGCATGAAAGACGGGATGGGAAAGAAAAGTCGGATTGGAGACAGGAAGTAGGAAAGGAGAGGGGGAAGACCGAAAATATATTATCTTCTGTTTTTGTCTTCGGCTCGATCTCATCAGGTGCATGCCGCGGAAGTGAACTGTTCTTATATTCCCTTGATTTCGAAACGCACATTGGTTAATCCCTTCTCTATATCCATATGCTTACTTTAGTAAGCATATGCATATACTGCATATGCATATATTCCCGTCTATCACTTTAGTATGCAGGCTTAACTTTCTTAATTTTAACTTGCCTTGGGGCATTTTAGCTCTACTTAAGGTGAACTCAAAGTGAATATTTTACATGGACGTTGCTTATTCTAGGGCTGTAGGGATGTTTCGGCAACTGCCGGTATGGCACCATCGGCAGGTTTCCTATCTGCCAGTGCCGATGTCCAAAGACAGTGAAGAACGAAGAAAAATATTTTTAAAAAATTACGCGAACGGGGCTTGGCAGTTGTTTCTCAACGGCAATAATAAAAAATTAGGGCTGTCCTGATGCATCCATCGATATCATCTTCGATAGTTGGAGGCATGATAGGTTTCATTACTCTTTGCGAAGGTCACATATTTCCCTTGCACCCCCGATCACAAGCGTGAGATTATGGAAGCCAGATAGAGGTCCGCGCTCCGATCGCGGGGAGAAAAGATGGAATCCTCCGGCGCATCCCCCTCCCTTCCCCCCGATGCAGCGATACACTATCGATAGTTTCGGTCGATGCATCGATGTTTTGAAAATTGCTATCCTGACAGCCCTAATTATAACCCAGATCACTATCAACTATGAAAATTTTCACAATTCGAGCTTATTTAATATGCTTCAATAATATACTGTACAACAGTGAAAGTCCTGAATATTCGCTCTGTATCGATTATTCTAGATGTTTAGAATCTTGTCAAAGAATCTTTCTGGAGCAAAAATAAGCCATGAATGATACCTGTCAAATGGCGAAGTGACGTTGTGCACAACCGCATGCTATTTCTTCATCACCTGGGTCGGAAGAAGCTGGCATGCCAACCGCTAGAAGCCAATTGCTACGCACCAGAAAGAAGCCATCGATAGATGCCATGCTTGCCCAGTCAAAAATTTTCGTTGATTTATCGTCAGGCCATAGCTGGGGAAGCTGGCTCATCATTCGCTGAAGATGAACCAATGTGGCTGAGAAGGTTCCGAAAACCGGCGTGAGATGGAGCTAGAGTGGTAGTGGTAGGGAGTCACTTCCCGGATTCTACTGAAATGAGTCCCTGTCCCTTTGACACAGTTCCCAATGGTATTTCACATAGATCTCAGAGTAAGAGAATTGAATTCCTTGAAACATTTCTCTGATGATGTAACCTAGCCCTGGAATAAACCAGGTAATTCCGGCCCGGAGGTTCGTGGGAGGATCTTTCTACTTTCCACGATAAGCTACGCAACCTTTTATCTCTACCTGAAGACATTGAAAAGTTCCATTATGTACAAGGAGAGACTGGCCTCCTGCGGGAGGACAGATACCCTTGCATTCCCGTGTGATTCCGCTTCTGGATGCCTTAGCATCCGAAAGGGATGTTGCCTTGATTACAATCAGCTCTTGACGATAGGATTGTACCTGTGTAAGGTACTCTGGCACTGTACTGCTCCTTTATCTCTCCCAGATGAAGGAACAGGAGACCGAAGGATGTATTCTCATCTCTAAGAGGCATAATGCTGTAAATGAAGATTGTTTTTTTTTTTCTATATCTTTCCATCGTTGTGTAAAGTCGGCTTATGGTTGGGACGTGTGGTTTCCCAACATTGAGCCAATGTTGGCCCGATGAAGGATCAACAGGACATGCCGGACCATAAGCCAGCTTAAACCAACCGTAAGTCAACCATATGCCAGTGATGGCCCAACTAAGGCTTACGTACGCGTCGACGGAAAGCCATCGATGGCTTGATGAAAAATTTTTGACTGGGGTGAACGCGAGGAGTTCGTAACGAACCGAAGTCTATGATGGAGGAAAGTATTTTGCGCTGTGGGGCAGTCAGATATAATGAAGTACTTCACTATATCTGCCATAGATTAGCTTCGCCATTCATTCAAAACTGAAACTTGATTACTTGATCACAAGTACCCCGAATGACCTTACTGGAAATAAGTTAGACACAGTGACAAAAATCAACTTGCAGGAGCATGGGACCAATTTCATTGCTTTCTCTTCAAAGGCGATTTGCATAAGTCCGACTTCCTCGTAGATCCTGACCTAGAAATGTCAAGGTTCAGCGTCAGTTGCACTTACTCTGTCTCATTATAGTCTGGCTTTCAAAGTTGAAAGTTGAATTTGTCGCACTGTAGGCCTGGCTTTTCCAGTGAATGAGAAAGTTTTGCAGGTTTTAGGAATCTTTCCTACACTTGAGTGCTTGGATTGCGTGGCCATCGTTCCTAGAGTTCCTCACTGAAAGCATTCGAGGATGGAAATAAATAACTTCGGCCAAATGCAATACATCCAAAAGCAAAAGTCAAGGAGGATGCTTAACATGCTATGGCTGAGGAAGCATTGCTAACTTTATCCCTACAGATGGGTCAATTCTGTGCTACATGAAGTAATCTGGAACAAGAACTTGCCTTGTCGTGGTTGTCGATTGAAATTATAAAATGTGAGATTTAAAGCTTGAACCGATCCTCATGAAACCAGATTTTATTTCCCTTAGAAGGGAAATAAATATGGTGACCAAATTTTTCAAGAAATTGCTTTGGCAGCTTAATGAATTGGCTTTGAGGCAGTTGACTTTTGCAGTCACACGTCATTTTCAGCAAGGCTGAGTAATATCTAACTTGCAAAAAAAAGTAATGTGAGGCAGAGTTAAACCGCACGAATCAAGCGAATCAATTATGAACCCAGTTGTCCTGCGCATTGAAGCGGTCAACCAGCGACAGTCGTCATTGATATTTATTCCTTGCCAAGTTTGTACTTTTTTTTTCTATTGGAGTTGGCGGCAATCTTCCGTTTCCTGATTTGTTTGAGAGGCGGACCAAGCTTCTTTTCGAGGGAGGTTCTAGTGCTTTCGTGTGACGCCTGCGGCTTCCCTGGATGCATCGTACGGAAATGTGCGTTAATTTATCGAATACCAGCCACAGGTTCATCTCGAATGAGAACCTCCATTCCCTGAGTCAAGCTAATGCTCCCATTATTTATTAGGGTAGAACAAGGTGGGGAATGCAAGTACGGAAGACAAAAATTGGGAGAAGATATCAATACTGTGAATGAATCAGTGTAGGATCGGAACTGGCATGTCCTTGACGACGCAAGACACAACGAAACGAACTATTCTAGGCAGGCCACATGAGCTGGCCTCGGCTGTCCTGCCCACCCTCAGCTCATCGCTACGTTCCCTTGCTCTCCCTATACGAGTTCCACGCTATTGATTCCTAATAGGGCTGCGGGTTAGCATCATGGCAAGAAGGCCTGATAATCACATTGGAAAGGTGTACTTATTAGACAATTTCATGCAAAGTATCAAAAATCCAATTGGGGTCTTCACTTCTGCAGGTGGGCAGTTTTGTCGTGAATTCGCCTTCCCCAAATAGGAGAGCAGTTTTGGGGAAATTCTTCCGATAGGAATAAATACTACTTCTTACTCTTGTTGCACTAATTAAGCATCAATTCTGTCCTCATTTTCCCGATATGTAAAAGGGGAACCAACTTCACGTCCCCCTTTACGAGGAACAAACTGGCAAAACACTTAACAGGGCTTCCCAAACAAGGGGTCGCTAAGATCATATTTGGGGTCGCGAACCGGCAAATAAGTGCCAAGTTCTGTATTTATCTTATATTTGCAATTTCAGCGCATAGGTGCGGGAGCTTGTCGATCTTCGGCCAGTGCTTGGGGTCCTGAATGGTATGATCGTGATTTTTGGGGTCGCGCATGAAAAAGGTTGAGAAGCCCTGCCTTAAGGGATGTAGCAATTCTCATAATTGTTTTCTGGCAATTTTGAAACGCTGATTCAATCCGATTTAGTCCACACGAGCACATTCGAATCGCCGCGTGACTTCCTGTTGCATTACACCCTCTTGGAGCATTTTAATTGCCTGATTCCTTTGTTGCTGCGTTGGCCTTGGGATACCTGTTTTTCGGAGACGATATGACATGCACAGTGGAATCAGACAATTTTTTAACCTGTATACATCTGGACTTTACATACGACACGGAGAAAACCTAAATAGACATATTCTAAACCAGCGGTTCCATAACTGTGTCGCGTACATTTTTCAAGTATAAAATATCTCTATATCCGCATCCGCTCAAGATAAAACATGCCCGGCAGAAAAGTCTATCAGTTTTCTTCGTCATAATTATTTTGAAAATTCCCTCTTTCTGGATTTCGGTGGGTCGCGATTCAAAGTAGTATGGGAAAAGCTGTTCTAAAAATGACACGTGCACAACGCTCAAAGGATGGGGAGTACATGCTAAAAATGTTCAGAAGGTACTGTATGGAATTGTTCAGCAAGACAGGTAATGCCAGCACAACGTCTACTACGCGGGCAAGCCCTATATTACCTTTTAACGTTTCTTTTGGACGCTATTATTATAATAATTATTTTTTTTATTGAGGGAAATGGATATAGGCCCTGAGACTATTTAAAAGAGCTACATAATGCCGCTTCTCTATTGGCGAATTGCCGACAAGTCAAAGATGCAAGTGTCAAACTCTGCTTTTTGAACAGCTCTCACAAGGCATGTCGAGTCCTTATGGCAGTAGGTATTCAAAGAAATAAAACTGGATACAATTTCCAATGTGACACTTTTTCCATATTTAATGGAATCTCATCCATTTTCCAAACAATGAAAGCGACTTCTTCAGTCGCTGGTACACAAAATTCATCACAAGGCAAAAATCAACCAAAAATCAAGCACAAACAGCACCAAAAAAGCATAATATTGTATACAATATTAACACAGTTGCATGACCTATCTTTGGCAGATAATACTTTGGTTTTCATTCACTGAGTTCATTGGTATTTGCACTAGAGGGGTAGAGAAAGGAGATTAGGGTTTTTGTTCATGTCCCTGCATCATCATAAATGAAGCTGAACGCTCAAAGCATACAGCAGGTACATTTACTTACATATGTATAAATTTAAGCAGATGCTCTGTTTTTTTTTTATGGAAGAAGACAGCTGCATGTGTGTGACCAGCAAGGATAAGTTAGATAAGTGATTATTGGCAATAGGAGGCCATGATGTGTTGGAATGAAGATTAAATTTTGTGAGTACTTTTCTCAGACATACAATCTCTTAAAATAAAATTTACAGGGGGATTATTTCACTGCAAGTGTTATCAACCATCTTGGAATTTAATTAAATTCTGCTTGCAGTCTGATTATGGCTAAAATAGCATACATCCAAAATTGTATGACAAATACAAGCCAAGATGTAGCAGTGATTCAGGCACTGGGGCAAAAGAAATGCCTCAAGCATTCAGAATTTAAAGTTTCCTGTGCTATTTGTTTGATTGGTACAACCACTAATAACTAACTATTAGTCAAGTTTCCAATTTGAAAGGGGAAAAAAAAGGGGAAATATGCTAGCATCATGTTACCTCAAAATCACCAGCTGTATGGGTTTATAGATACATGGATTTGTTATCCCACAAATTTCACACAGGTGTCATGATTCCCATTCAGAGAATTGAGAGACTGACATTTTCAAATTTAAAATTTCCCTGCAGAATAGAATTAATAAAAATCAGTTAGCATATTTTCTATTCCCCTTTCCTTTAGCTTTAACTTGAGGTATCAACAAACTCTCACAGACATACAACAAGGAAGATTTGAGCTTTGGGGCCATTTTTTGCCATATTTGCAAATTTCAAACCCTTTTATCATAGCACATTTGCTACAGAGACCAATGACTTTGGTCATATGATATTCTCACCTTATTCTTCCTGCATGCCAAATTAAATTTAATTCTGAGATGGTCAAGCACAGACTGTTGACACAAATGTGGTGGTATGACCCACCTGTAAATTGTGTGACAGGGCATTGCAATGATAGGCAAGGGTACAGACAAAACTCAATCTTCATCCCAACACCTCATAGTCTTCTGATGCTGACAGCTTATGCAACATGCTGTTAGTCACTTATACAAAGCTATCTTTCTCTCTAATAAAAAAAAAAGAGACTTTTATTCTTTAACCACCAAATGAATGGCAAAATTTCACCATCAACTTCTAAAAATGGGACAGCTTATTTCTCATTTAAATTTTCAAGATTCTTTTTGAGATTCCAAGTTAGCCATGTGAAGTGTGTTTCAGGATTCTTATCATCACAAAGGAGCCCTGGCATAAGGGTGCCACTAGCCCAATCAGAATACTTGGATGTTTTTTCAGTTATGTTTTTAAACACAGTCATTTTTCTAAGTAAGTTATAATGATTTCATTTTTAAAAACCATATCACTGACTGGAGGCCTCCTATATGTTTCCACACTCATTGAAACTCACTTGTTATCCAGCCATAGGGAAGGTAAGTGGGGAATAAATAAAGGAAGGGCTGCTTTCCTGGGTAACCCAGTGAATAAGTGAAAGTGATTCCCATTCTGAAAAGGGCCTGCTCCTACAATATATGGCAATATACAAATTAATACTGCATTTCTAGGAGCTTATAAGAACAATGGAACAAAATCCTGACAGTGGAGGAAAACCAGGAGAGTCTGCTTTCTTCTTGCATACTTAAGACTGGTTTTTCATCATCCCCCACCAGGTAATCAGCATATAATCTCAGTGATGTACAAAATGCCAAGATGGCATTGCATGAACTAAAAGTCCACCTTCTAGTTAGGTCATATACCTGGTGTAAACTGAGTTGATGAAGAAAACAATACCAATAATGAGGGAAAAATGAGGCAGGTCAAAGGTCAATCAACAGTAGAGCTATCTCAGATGTTAACGGGGGGGGGATGAGATCCTTGAAGTCATGAGAGGGAAAATAAATTATATACGGAAAGAATCAAACTTGCCATCGACGTGTCTAAGTCGAAGGTAGACATCAGTACCAATTCCCTGCATGGATTGGAGGTGAAGTCCTCCTCCAAGATATTCAGCATATGCTCGAGATGTGGGAAGGCCAAAGCCAAAACCATACATGGGGCCTGCAGTTTGTGCACTATTTGCAGCCTCCACCATGCCAGAAAAGCCGCCATGGTGATCATCCATATTTTCCTCATCTGTAGCTGTTGAGAAGTTGTAATGCATCACAGTATTGACATTCCCATGTGGGATTCCCCCACCTCGATCTGAGATCCTGATGGAAAATACCATAATCATTACCTGTCATAAGTGCCGCACAAAAAAGTAGAAAGAAATAAAGATTTTACCTGATGATGAAGTCAACATCATTGTTGGCAATAGTGATGGTGATGGGAGGCATGTCTTCAGGTAGCACATCCCCATGATATTCTATGGTTGCCCTGCCATATTATATGAAAAGCTCATCACCTGCTGGACAAACTGAGCACACAATGTCAGAGATTTCACTCACCGAGCAGCATTTTTCAGTAGCTCAGGAAGGATGTAATCAAGAGGAAGCTGAATGTATGGAAAGGCAGCATTGATGTGACCAGACAGTTTGAATGTTGCACTTCTTCCATATTTATATTGACTTAAGTGGCTCACAAAATCACACCATTTTGTCAGCACATCCTTCACTTTCATTGAGATATTGATGATCCCAACATGATTGGGCTATCAAGGAGCAAAAAAAAAAGATTAATAAGATTACATTCTTGATGACAGTAAAATATATTGCAGAAGGAATACTGCAGGCAGTACTGAGTTCCAGAAATACTAGCAGTATACCACCTTCATGGATCCTCACCATCAAATCAAGTGAACTGAGACGTTTGATGCTTGTAAGTTTATGCCCAATATCTGTTCTTTTTGATTGTTCATGATTAGGAAAACTCATCTTATCAAAATATTCAAAACAAATTCAATACCAGAGCTATGCCAATGGATATCAATGGGATTGTGTTTGTGATATGCTTCCTGAGACTTCTGAAAGTAATAGATTTCATAAGGTCTGCACCATTCCACTTTTTCCAAGAGTGAAACACAATTCCCTTCTCACGCAAAGGGAATTGCATGAACAGTATCACATGCAATTCTTGCAAAAAATATTCTGTCAGTCAATGGTTAACAAACATTACTATCATGCTCCAATTAGCATCCATTGGGACAACTTTCATACTGAATTTGTATTGATGTGATCGGTATTGGTATTGAATGCACATGAAGTTTTCAGAGGAAGAGTTAATTGTTTTTTAACTCCTTAACCTTAGACCTCAGGGGAAATATTCAGAAATCCTGTAGTATCCAACAGAATTCTCTATTGAGAAACTAGTCAAGATTCTCAGTATATGCAAAAGCTCTTCAATCAACATGAAGTCTGACCCTATGGGTATAGCCTTCAACTAAAATGATGTTGAAAACAGCACTCATACACCAAAGAGCATTATATTATCATGAGTGCAATCCATGTATGGTTGACAAGTTGAGGTGAGGGTAAGGTAAATGTCAAGAGGGAGCAATTTTTTAAACTGCTATGCTCTGAGCATCTCAGGTTTTTGCACGTTAGATTGAAGAATGTAGCAAAGAAGTGTTGAGAAACAAATAAGAGAACCCTAAGGATTTAAACTTCTAGCAAAACTAAGGATGTTGTATGAATTTATTTTTTAATTTTCAAAATAATTCAATTTATAGGATTAATAAAGGGGTGAAAATGATTGCAACCTGTTGATTTTGTATGCATCAGAGGATTAACATTAAATCTCTGGATTCCTGAGGATATATACATGGGATACTTTCATTGAAATCCATGTCATCCAAAAAAAAGCCAAAAGGCAATCTATGGGAATGTACAGAATACAGAAAAAAAAAAAGAATGAAATAAACAAAATACTCTTAATGGTAGTATTACCTGCTCATCATGCAGTGAAAGTTGGTGCATGGCCAGCATGCGAATACCTAGTCGAGATGTGAGAGTTCGATCAAGGAACTGCCCAATCAAATCTTCATCCTGGAAAGATACATCCATAATTCACAGGCATTTCAAAGAAAAAAAGAGTTAGAAGTAAGGAAAGAACAAATTCATGAATGACAAAGAGACATGCCTCTACATAGCGGCGACATTCACGGAAACCTGAAGCCAGATGGGTTACAACATCCTTGTGGGCATCAAGAAGTTCCCTCAGAATCCCATTGTACTTGCGAGAGTCCTCCAAACTCTGTATCTCTGGAAACTCATTCAAGATGTGAAATGCCTGGATGTAGAGCTCATGCTGAAAGCCAAAAAACCATAGCAGAAAATAAGCAAGTAATGATAGAAGCGTGACATTCCAGAACAGCAGTTGTATGGAGCAACGATGACTGCGGGAAGAAATTAAGGTATCAAATGATGTCTCCACAATGACTAGTCTATTAAAAACAAACAAGAAAGCTTACCACAGATAGGATGGTTGGATTACAACCAATGACAAAGGGGAGGGTTCGAAAACCAGCAATGCGATGAGCTATGCGAACTGGTAGCTCTCTCTGTAGATATTGACTACTTCTCTGAATTAAAATGAAAAAGAAACATTCAATAGCCTTATGTGATAAAACATTTCTGCCCAAGAACGAAAATCAGTTCTTACCAGAAGATGAGCTCCATCTGAATTCTTTCCTGCATACAAGATAGTTGCTGGCGTCAATCTAACGGATGGCTGTAAGTAAACAAGGAAAAAGTGCAAGGGGAATGTCCTCTATTAATAATAAAACAATACCAATAGGTGCACCTTCCCTATTTAAAAATTCATCATTTGACTTAAAAAAACAACCATATATGTAACTGGTTCAACACATGTATTTCATATACTGGCCATAATTGGCAACAGGTGTTACCACAAAGAAAAAAAATCAATGAAATCATAAAACCTTATTGAATTTTGTTTCTTTTGACATTGTCCTAGTCCAAAAATGACAAAAGTTATTACAATTGTGAAATATGTAGTGACTTTCCATGCATCCTGAAGATTTTTTGTTCCTAACAGAAATTTGAAATTTTATCCAAATTGATGTATCTAAAGCTAAGCAATGAGCACTTATTCAGAAGAAATGGGAAAAGTGAAAATGAACAGGAGACTCCAATCCCTTCCGAGTGCCTTGCTCTCAAACAAAGACCAAGGAAAAACCTGAATGAACTTTGTGCAAACTCTGCTTTGATACTTAGTGATTCACCTGTTATAGTTTTGACAAGCTTTATTCCAATCAATCTGCAAGAAAAGGCCAATCTAAAAAATGGAACCTAGTGGAAAAGAAGTTGGATGTGGCCTGGATGATATCAAAGTAGTGCACTTAATTGTGCACTCCATTTCACAACCAGCATGAGCTCTTGTCCATTTTCACTATCCAACTCCTTTAAATTATTGCTCACAGCCTATTCTCTGAGCAATGAATTTGAAGAAATTTTGAAGATATAATGGAAAAATATATATGAATGCTTAATGAGAATTTAGTGAAAATAGCTCAAGGGAGAGCATAAATATACTGGTTAAAATCTGGTGGTCTTTCCTTGCTCAACCTAGTAAATGTAGAACCAGTAACAAATATGGTTATTTCATATATGACCATACAAATTTTTTTATATGTGAAGCCTGCTAAAATTCTGTCATTCAGTCAAGTAAATGTGGTTTGGTACATCATGTGGCACAGAAAAACTCATTTTTGCAGGCCTTGCAAAGGAGATCAGCTTTTCACATACAGGTGGTAAAATCTCGTTATAGCGAACCTGGAGGGACTTTTAAAAAAATTCGTTACACTGAAAAATTCGTTATATCGAAATTCACTAATTTTGTAATTTTTGATAAAGGAAATAACTGAAAACGCTGGTATTCTTCAAGTCACAGAAATATTTATTCATAACAATATTTTTCAGCAGAATTAACCCCATATCTACTTCTTGAAATAATCCGTTATTTTTGACTGAACAAAGTTTTTAGTCACTGATG